GAAACAATCACAGCCATTGTGAAGGATATATAGAGATATTTTTATAGGCTTTTTGCCATTTATTCTCTCATTTGAGAATATCAAGGCTGAATTTTTTTTTTTTAAATCTATGAAGGGTCATCCTACATTCACAAATTCTCTCGGGAAATTTCAAGTAGCCATTTCAATTTGAAGCCTCCATGTTTACTTCATTGTTGTTTTGCCATCCTAAYATATAAATATACAGAAGATATACCTGTGTGCCACTTTGATGAGTACTGCAAGGTTAAGAAATACCCTACAGAGACAGAAAGGCTTCTCTTCTTTCAAAATGTGTCAATGATTACAGACAGCTTCACTGCCTAGAAAAACTRAAGGAAACTTATATCAGAAAAAAAGTACCTACAAAGATCCAGTGGCTAGAAAAAAAGTGATTTAATTGAAGTTAAGCACCAAGTGTCTTTAAAGAATCAATTCCAGATAAAGTTGCTTGACATATAATATCAAAATTCAGTATAGAAAAGTCGTCCTCAATAATACAGTACCAGGAAAGCTCATCCAATAGGACACATATACAGCTCTTGTCTTAAGGGAAGAGGCTGTGCCACTTTTATTTTTTGAGAAAATGGTGGGCCTTTTCTTAAAGAAAATAAGTTAAAAGAACTGTCAACCTTACAAACCAGTGATAAATTAATTATCTGGAAATTGGCATAGTAGTAAAACATTTGGGAGTTAAAAAAACATATTTCATATACATGATCATATCTCCCATCATGTAAAATGTTTATCTTGTCTTCAAAGAACTGMAAAAAACTCTATGCTTTCTCCTAAATGGTATTTTAGTAACTAGAAGCCAGAACATTGTAAAAGWTAAGCTGGCACTAGTTAATGGTGTAAAAAATAGCGTTATTTCAACTTTTGATATTTACTGAACTAGGTTGTATTTTTCTTGCCTCTCATTTTGAATAGATTTGTGCCCTTGTTATTCTCCAAACACTGTTTTCACAGTCCCTTGAAAACAAAGCATAAAATCAATGATGCTGAAGTTTATGTAAGCTTGATATTAGGCAAAAATTAGAGCGCCTCGTCCTGCTGTCAGGAGGATGTGTTTGTGTAGCTCTCAAAGAAGCACTTTCAAGAAGTGTAAGTGACAGCAATCTCATTCTGAGAAGGGGGCGATCCATATGGCTCCATTTTATGGCTGGCTGGCTTTATAATAGCAYGGAACAAAACATTTATGGTCTTTGAAGAGACTCAGGTTGCTCGTGTAGACGGGCAGAGTAGCAGTGCACAGTGCCGTGGAGTTCCAGTGCTTTCCACATGCTGTCCTGTGAAGAGAGCCTGCACAAGACTGTGAGTTATCAAGAAAGTGGAGAAAAGGGCCTTTTTTTTTACCTAGAGGGAATCTGTAGAGCCATTTCTGGCTTATTCAGGAGTTTCTCATGGTGTGCACGCTTACTTTATGTAAGACTGATGCAACTGGCTTGAATCTGTAGTTCTCATGCCTTACTTAAAATTACTAGGAGAGTGCCAGATATTGATTTGAAGACATCCCCAACCAGAACAGGACAGGCTCTGGTCACGAGCCATATTGCTATTTCAAGTGCACAACACCAGAGAAGGCTGTAAATTTGCCTTTCAGCGCCTGTACGTGTGCGTGTGCCCCTGCATGGGCACACACATGAATACTGGACCTTTGAAAAGTTCCTAAATGACCTGCTTTGGCATCATTCCTTCTTTTTGGTACCAAGCTGGCTATATCAATAGAAAGTGAAAAAGCAGAGTTCCTAGTTTCCTCCTAAACCTTTCCTGATTGATGACTTGTCTTCTCCCAAGGTCCAGCATTACAGCACAAACCAGTTGGTATAACCTGCAGCTAAAACTGTTCCTTGGAGGACTGCTTCTTTTCTGGGAAAATGTGGTTTTCATTAACACTAGTGTTCAGACTCAGGAAAAAATATATTTAAGACAGTACATTATACACAGAACTTGAAGCTATTGCTTTTCTTAATGATATTAATCTGTTCTTCTACAGAGAATCGCAGAAATCATTACCTGTTATTGCATTCCCATGTTCATCTCAATACTTCTGGGTGTAAAATAAACCACATAAAAGAAATTCACTGCTTCTTTTACTGCACAGACTACATCACACCCATATAGCTTTCCTGTTTAGATTTTGATTTGGTCACTGCTAATACAGAGATTCAAAGCTAGTGCTTTCAAAATATTAACTGCTATACAAAAAAAACAGAAAATATAGGATATGTTAGCAAAAAATCAGTCTAACAAATAGTGCCATCTCTCAGAAGACATTCATAACTGACACCAACGTAAGTTGTGTTCTTTCAGAAGCCCCATTAACACTTATTTTATCATGAGTATAAATTTAATTATGT